TTGTTTACTTTGATTCTCAAAGTGTTCCAGGGTTGTTAAGTGGGAACTACTTCAAACTGACTTCTATTTTCTTTCTAACAAATGTTTTGCTGACAATCAGCCTTTCTCAGGCACAATTGTTATCATAATGAATAAACATTAAAAAAAATTGTCCTCAAGGAGCTTATACTCTAGTTTGAAGTAGACAAAAAAGAACAAATGAACAATGGTTGAAGTGTATCAGCAAGTGTGGAAGAGGAAAAGAAAAGGGAATTTCAGCTTTTATTGTAGACTGTGGGCAAGGAAAGCGTGGTTGGTGGGCATCAACTGGCAGAAAGACAATGGACCTGAGGGAGTTCAAACAGGACCATCCTCCAGGCAGCCCCCTGCACTAGAGAAGCGTGGGCAATTGTTATTCTTTGGGCAATGCTGAGCTGGCGTTCTTCATGGATGACGAAGTTGAAGACAGCCTAGGAAGCAAGGCCCAAAACAAGCAGGTCATTGCTCCTTTGCCTCAGATCCCCACAGCACACATTCCTGAGGCCTTGGAAATTTTATTATGGTATGTATTGATACCATGACAATTTCTTGAGTAAATTACATGTCTCAGGTAACAGAGTTACTATAGAAATAGAAATAAGACCTATCACTTAAATTTGGACTCTTTTTATCTCCATGCATAGCCATGTTTCAAATTACAGGACATGATACACACATACAAATGTAAATATTTGTATATATGTCTTAAATAGAGATTAATGAAAAAGTACAAAAACCTCATGAGGCAAGGCTTTTCAATCAACAGGGTATGTGATACATGCAGGTGATTCATATTATAGTGTGAGGTCAATGCTGACATTACTATTATTTTGTGTGTGTGTGTGTGTGTGTGTGTGTGACAGAGAGAGAGAGAGAGAGAGAGAGAGAGACAGAGAAAGAGAGCACATATACACACCTGTGTCTATGCTTTAACTCAGGACCTTACACTCTTGCTTAGCTTTTGTACTCAAGGCTGGCACTGTACTACTTGAAGCATGCCTCCACTTCTGGCTTTGTGCTGGTTAATTGGAGAAAAGAAACTTACATACTTTTCTGACAAAAATGACTTTATACTGTGATCCTCAGATCTCAGCTTCCTGAGTAGCTAGGATTACAGTTATGATTATTAGTGCCCAGCATTTATAGTAATTAGTCAGTCACCAGCAATCATAGAGAAATGTGTTGCCTTTCTTTTTTCCAGGAAGGACATGAATATTGCTGTACCATGTGTTATATATGTGGGAAAACGTAAATGCCATCTCCATTCTCTTCACATCATTCTGGTTTATATCTAGCTAAAGTTCTCTCTCCCTGTCCTTCTGTCCTCAAATATCCTGGATCTGTAACTACACTTGGACCACAATGTCTGCTCCCATTATCTCTTAGGAAGATATAAGATCTAGGACATTGGCCAGAAACTTCCAGATGCTAACAGAGAAGAAGAAAACAAACAAAACAATCTGATCAGAGACAGAAGTAGGATCAGAGTAGAAATTTAGGGTGTTTTTTTTAATTCATCTTTGATTGACTTCCATGTGACCTTATACAGCTAACACCTGCTCCACAGGTGTATGAAGGACTTTAATTAATATTTGAAAATCTTCCTGAGTGCCAGAGATAGATGGTGGCAGAAAAGGGCAAATTTTTATTAATCTTGAGAAAAACAATGAAATATTAAGTTTTTGTTTATTTACCACCGAGAGACCCACACCCTCAAACATTATTATTCAGGTTAAAAAGATTAGCTATAAATTTTTATTTTTGTTGCACTTCTGGAAATGCCCAGTGTCTGCTTAACGCAAAATTCTTCCATGCTCTTCTTCATACTCTGTATTACACCCTGCCTCTGGTTCTTGGTGCTGCTCATGTTATAAAGGAGTCTTGCTATTCATGAGTGTGAGGGGTTCATCTAATTAGCTGATTTCAGTTCATTTGGCATTAAATAATTCCCTAAATTCCCATATGTTTGAACAATATGTTCAACAAGGGAGATGATTCTCTGAAAGCAATTAAATAGTTCTTTTAGGAGAGCTTGTCATCGGTCAGTTACAAGCATCCCTGCCATTCCTGTCCATGATAAATGCAGGCAGCAATTATAAGGAAACTGCTTAACCCACGCTAAAGGCAGCTGGCAGCCATCCACCTGCAGGCTGCACTGTGTACTGGTTCTAGTGCTCACTGGGTTCCACTGTTTTTTAAACCTTGAGTATATTCTTCTAGACATTTTATAAGCCATTTGCTACTGTTAATATACTGTTCTCTAATCCCCTGCCTGCTCCAAGGTAAATGCAAATGTATTTTCAGCTAATACATGCTTTGTTTATACAGGAAGAAATTGTCAACCTTGGGTTTCTGGAACAAAGAACTGGTTTTTTATATTGTTGTTGGTTTTCTTTTTTGTTTGTTTGTTTGTTTATATTTTCGCCTTTGGTGGTACTGGGGTTTGAATTCAGGGCCTTATACTTACTGGACAATCACAGTACTACTTAAGGCAATCTCCCAGTTGTTTTGTGTTTGCTTGTTTGTTTGCTTGCTTCAGAGTCTCATATATTTTCCTGGTGGCCAGCATATACAGTGATCCTTCTACCTATGCCTCCCTTGTAATTAGGAATATAGTAATGCCAATTAAAATTATACCTGCAGGGTTCCAGGACAGAATGCTGAGATCTGAAGGTAGTGGTTCAAAGCCAGCCAAGGCAAGAAAGTCCATGAGACTCTTTTCTTTTTTGGGGGGTGGGGGGGGTCCAGTCATGGGCCCTGAATTCTGAGCCTGGGTGCTGTCCCTCAGCTCTTCAGCTCAAGGTAGTGCTCTACCATTAAGCCACAGCGCCACTTCCGGATTTTTTCTATTTGCTTATGTGGTGCTGAGGAATCGAACCCAGGGCCTCATGCATGCAAGGCAAGCACTCTACCACTGAGCCACCTTCCCAGCCCCATGAGAGTCTTTTCTGCAGATAAACCACCAGAAAACAGGAAGTGGCACTGTGGCTCAAGTGGTAGAGTGCTAGCCTAGAAGAGCTGAAGGACAGCACCTAGACCCAGAGTTCAAGCCCCACAACCAACAAAAGGAAAATCCAACAGCAAAAACTATCCCTGCTCAGTTATATATCCTGACTTTAATGCTGCAGCAAAATTTTAGATAATGAACCCGTGACTGCACAACAAACGAGAGAAAATAAGGGATATCAAAAAAAGCAATTCAGAAATTAATAATGTGTGAGACATAGAATGCTGCTTATAGGAGATCAGAGAACATATCTCTAGAGCAAGATTTCATCTTTATGTTGCCCAAGGGGTCACTGTTTACATCCAAGATGGTAGATTGAAGTGCCCTTCTGAGGTGATGCGAAGGAACTTTTGGTAATAGTTTCAGTCTTCCATCTCGTATGGAATTGTGCATCTCATACACTGCTGTATTGACTACATTTAGTAGCAACATATGTCTAACAAGTGAAAATCTAGCAAACAAATGAAAAATCAAGTAATTTGTTCAAACACACATAGGTGGATGGGAACCATTTTGTGCTCTCAGTTATTTTTCAATGATTATTGTTCTACAAACTCACTCTCCTTACTGCTGGCTCACAGACATGAAAATCAAAAGTCAGGAGCCTGGGATGGGCCTCCATGGTAGAGTAATGGTCTACTATGCATGAGAACCCAGGTTCCATCTCCAGCACTGCAAATACAAAGAGAAAAGGGAGGGGGGAGCCAAAAAGTGTGTTTTCTTTTTCTGTTTCATGGCTGTATTTCCTCTGTACATTACATACAACACAGAAAAGTACAAACACTCAGGCAAGGTGGAATGATTTTAAATTTAGATGTAAATAGAAAAGAGTTAATATATATATATATATATATACATGTATTATTATTATGCATATTTTTAACTGTCTACTGTGTGATCATTATTGCATATTAGCAGAAGATAAATGTTTTCATAAACTGTCTACTGTGTGATCATTATTGTATATTAGCAGAAGATAAATGTTTTCAAAACCAGAACAAATATACTCAAGTTTTATTTTTTTTCGGAAATTTTTTTTTATAATTTACAAGCACTAAACAAAGTATTGTTGAGTAAATTATTGGCAAAGTAATGCAAAGATAATAAGATTACCAGTTCAGTCATTTCTACAAAATTCTTGTTTTGTATCATGGATAATGTTATCAGCAAAGATTCAAGCTGGGCACTGGTGGCTTATGCCTGTAATCCTAGCTATTCAGGAAGTTGAGATCTGAGGATCACAGTTAGAAGCCAGCCTGGGCCAGAGAGTATGTGAGACTATTATTTCCAATAAGCTACTCAGAGAAGCTGGAAGTGGTGCTGTGGCTCAAACGGTAGAGCTCTAGCCTTGTATGAAATAAGCTCAGGGGCAGAGCCCAGGCCCAGAGTTCAAATTCCAGGACTGGCAAAATAAAAACAAAGGATTCAACCAGTGCTAGTAACTCATGTCTATAATCCTACCTACTCAGAAGATAGATAATTGTGGTTGGAAACTAGCTAGGACAGACAAATCCTCAAAACTTGTATGTCCAGTTAACCAGTCCAAAGCCAGAACTGGAAATGTAGCTCAACTGGTAGAACAGCAGCTCTGAGAAAAAAGCCAAGCAAGAGCTCAAGGCCAGGGATTTAAGCCTCAGTACCAAATAATTAATTAATTTAATTAATTCATTAATTAATCACCTGGGATTTGACTCAGCAGCCAAGATTTGAATTCTCTGATTCTAAAGAAGTATTGGTTGGCCAAAACCTAGAGTTGACCCTGGGACCTCAAGTCTGTCGGTGTACCTGAGCAGCTTAGAGCTAACACCTATTTACCACAAGTAACTGCCCATGGCAAACAGTATACTATTCAGAGCAGATCCCTGCAAAGGGACTGTGCCTGACCTGTGGAAACCCCCGCTCTGTCACTACATTTGCTTTCGTTCTCTATTTTTCAATCTTTGCTTCTGTCTCTGATCCTTTCCCGCCCGGGAAGCCTGCAATCTGATGGGTCTGAGGTGCTGCTGAGTCCTGAGGTCACCTGCGGTCCTCCTGACATGGTGGTCACCACTCCCTTTGCGCTGACCATTCCACACTGTGCAGACGTGAGCTCAGAGCACTGGAACATCCACTTGAAGAAGAGAACACAGCAGGGGAAATGGGAGGTAAGACCCTGCTGTTCCTTCTTATCGAGTGGGATCTGGGCTCTACTGATGGGTAGAACTAACCTGAACTGTCCTTATACAATAGCATTTTTGAGTATTTCCTTATTGGCAAGTGGTTGGTGCATACATGTTACCTCAAAGTGTCAGTCTTTAATTATCAGGACAATGGAAAAAAGAAGTGGGTGCTGAGGGCTCACACCTGTAATCCTAGCTACATGAGAGACTGACAATTGAGGGTTACTATTTAAAACTAGCCCAGGAAGGAAAGTCTGTGAAACTCTTTATCTCCAATAAACTACCAAAAAAAAAAAAAAGCTGGAAATAGAGCTGTGGCTCAAGTGGTAGAGCTCTAGCCTTGAGTAAAAAAAAGTTCAGGGAGCCAGTCGCTTGTGGCTAACACCTGTAGTCCTAGCTACTCAAGTGGCTAAGATCTGAGGATCACGGTTCAAAGCCAGCCAGGCAGGAAAGTCCGTGAGACCCTTATCTCCAATTAACCACCAGAAAACCAGAAGTGGCGCTGTGGCTCAAGTGGTAGAGTGCTTGCCTTGAGCTGAAGAGCTCAGGGATAGTGCCCAGTTCTGAGTTCAAGCCCTAGAACCAGCACAGATGATGATGATGATGATTGTTATGATGATGATGATTGATGATGATGATGATGATGATGATGATGATGATGATGATGATGATGATGATGGAAAGAGAAGCAAGAGATAATCCAGAGCTATTAGGTGTTAGGAAGATAGCTGTAACTACTGACACAGCCTGTGCTCTTAAGTTCCTGTCTGTTAACTCTCCTCACCCCCTCTCTACTGACATTTGGTGGGCATGAGGAGAAGGCTTAGGCTGTATTCAGGAAAGAAATCATGATATTTGTTTTTGTCACTTCCTGGAGTTCATAATATAGCTAGGTTTAAATATCCGGTAACACAGTGAGTGCAAAATGTGTTTTTGGAAATACTGGATGCATTAGTGATTAACACTGGGGTCTGTTTCCCTGTTCCCCCCTGTCTATAAGTATAAGAAGTTCAGAGTAGAGACAACAAAAGAGAAAATCGGCACAGAATAGGAGGCTCACAGCCAGGGTGATAGTCCAGCAATGCAAAAACTACACTTGCATTACTATTTTAAGGGAAAGCTCTGATTTGTCTCTCTGATAGGGATTCCTTAATGTCCTTTAGAAGTGAGTTTGCATGAAAGCAGGTGAGCTATCTCATTGGAACACAATGACCTGAACCAGCCAGTCCTGGGATCTTGCCTCCTGAGAGTACCCCAGGCCAAAGAATTAAAAGAAAAATTGTTTTTCTTAAGGAAAAGAAAATTCCCTGGTGTGGCACTGGATTACACTTACCATCTCCAGCTATGTCTCGAAGCTAGTCTACTTTCTATTTTCCAGGATGCAGCCTGCTCTTTGTTCCGCCCTGGTAATATGACAGGCAGGATTCTTGGACATGTAGTTTATAGACAAGGCCATGTTCTACTCTTTCCGATTATGTTTTGCATTGACTTGGTTTTTAACCTTTTTTTTTCTTCTCTGCATTTCTGCACAATTTTACATCCAGATGGTGTTATATTCATATTACACCAAATCAGTCACACATACCTAAGTTCTTATCAGAGAGGGGGAAATATTCAAGCACATCATTTATTTAATAGTCCCATGTGAATGATTTCAGTAGGATGAAAGAGGATAAAATGTTTGAGAGCAAATAAACATTACCTTAAGGACATTTCAAGAGGTTTTCAGAAACAGATCTTTGTAAAAGAATAAAAGAATGAAATAAAGCAAGTTCGCTTATTGAGGTTAATGTGTATCATTTGATTAAACCAGACGTTGAACAATTAACCAGAAGTGGAATTTTCAAAGCAATTTTTTGCTATTATAGCCTATAAAAGGAGAATTATAACACACCAAACATAACCATTTCTTGGATTCTTGAGTTCTTGAAATAAGCAATTATTTTTATAGAAGAAAAATATTTAACATCAAGATAATTAAGTCAACGTAAAGATTCTGGAAAACATCATATTCCTTTGTAAGGTTTTGTTTCTTTGTTTGTTTATGACCTAGTAAATTGTTAGGTCCCATCCTGTTTCCAACTTCAGGGAATTTAATGTGTTTTTTCCACAACAGGAAGTAATGTCAGTGGAGGACGAATCCACATCCTGTTACTGCCTTCTGGACCCTTTTGCATGCCACGTGCTGCTTGACAGCTTCGGGACCTACGCCCTCACCGGAGAGCCGATCACAGACTGTGCGGTGAAGCAGCTCAAGGTGGCTGTCTTTGGATGCATGTCCTGTAACTCCTTGGATTACAACTTGAGGGTTTACTGTGTGGACAATACCCCTTGTGCATTTCAGGTCAGTCTTTTCTCTGTAATTCTTCTCTTGGCATCTTGAAAGTGTGTGTTGGGTGGTGAGGTAGGGGCTTCCTAAACAACAATGTCTATAGAGAATTCTTTTGGTAAGGTTTAAAAAAAAACCATAAACCTGTCTTGAAGTATAAGCCTAACAATGCAAGAGTGATGAAAGTGTGATGCAGGATTTAGCAAAGAGTTGTTGAGAATCTTTTGCAAATATTCATGGATGGATACTTAAAAGCAAAGACAAACGTGTAGGACATCTAGAGAGGAAATGGCATGAGGCACGGGACTGAGAGTTGCAAAGGGTAGTGGGAAATTTCTTAAACCAACTAAAGGTTGTATTTAGGAAACAATGATAAATCATACCTGGCACCAGGCTGACATATTATATCCTGGAAACATAGTCTATTAATTACTAGGGCTACTGGGGCAGAGCTAGTTCAAGGTATTAGTTCCTTCCCATTTTGGGTACTTTTAGTCCCGTAAGGTTCATTTTAAATAGCTACTCATGAAGAGGGCTGTTTATTAATAGCAGCAAGGACATTGCAGAACTGCCTGTGTAAGCTTTGCTCATATAGAAATAACATAGCTCTCCTGACACTTCTCATTTCAGATCCCTGCTATTCCAGTCCTGGACCATTAAGTCCATTAGGCAGCGCATTTCTGCAGTAACTAGATTTTAAGACACTGAGCTGGAAAACTCATGTTTACCAATAGAAAATATACAATGACCTGAATCCTGAACATAAGCCAGGAAAGGCAACTCAGTGGCAGGCTGCATTCCCCCATCTTCCCCCACTGCCTTGTAATCAGGCAGATCATTACCAAGAACACATTTCCTCTTTGCCTTCTTGAAAAATGGGGGTCTTTCTAGGTGTATTATTTTGTAAAGAACTTCCATGTCAGTATTCAACCTCATCCTTGATTATCTTCTCCAACTCTTCATCCACTCTGAAAGGAAGATTTCCCCAAGAAAATACACAACAGGCATTCAGTAAACTAAAATCAAGAACAAAGACTAAAGTGAATGGTCTACTTTGGAGTCAGTCACTGCTTTCACTAAACAGTTGTAAGAAGCGTAGTTAGCACTGTGGTTGGAAGTTTAGTGCCTCAGCCAGATTTTAATGGCTAAATGAACTGGAGGATCCACGGAGGACTTCCAGTCTCCTGGTTCAGCTCAGTTCTCACAACTTTCTCTGTGAGGTGCTATTTCTAAACTGCTTATACAGCCAGCCAGTAGCCAAGTTGGGCTATCTTTGGAGAACTGATCCTACTGCTGATGTACATACCAACAAGAGAGATAGTTGCCCAGAGTTTCTTCTCAGTGATGATGAATTTATTTTCATTTATTTCATTTATTTTCATTCCTGTTGATCTTCAGATGCCCTAGCAGCTTAGATGTTTCCCATGAATTTACATTGCCAAGGAAGTGGTAAAAAGCAAAACCATCGTAAACCTAGCTTTCCAAATCACCATCTACTTTTGCTGGGGATGTGCCTTCAGAGTCTATGCTCTTCTCCCTCTAGTGGGATTCAAGTGTCTTTACTTCATTAGCAGTATGACTTCAATTAGTAAAACTTGAACTTTGATTTGGAGAAATGGTTTTCACTTGAAATGCCTCTGAACCTCATTCATGACTGTCTGGTTCAACTTGTGTTTTTTTTCTTGCTCCTATTTTGTTACATAAAGTGCATTTTGAAGTTGCATTTTCCTATACTTGTTATTGACAGGATGTATGTGTCAGCTGTCATAAGCAGCAAAGGCCATTCATCCCCTCTGGGATTCTAAGAAATCATCAACCTTGGTTGAATAACTTTTCTGACCCAGAGATACATTAAAATATAACTTGTATCTTTTGTGAACAGAGACTTCTAAGCCCAGGAAGTAACTATTCACCTACTGATTTCATAATTTCTGTGTTTTGTGTCTGAAGGTATTGTGCTTTCTGGATTTTTATTTGCTAAGTGAATATTAATATTAAGAATCCTCACTACAGAGTCCTTGGGAACATCTTAATATTTTGAATCGTCTGTCTTACTCCCATGGCTTTATGTGTGGCTTTTGGTATAGGAAAATTATGTATTTATTAATCCATTCAAACAGTCCCCCTTTAAGAACATTCAACAATTTACTTTTTCAGCCTCTAAGAATATAAAGTTAATATTGGCTCTCTAAACTTGGGTAGTACAAAATGGAAACAGTTCTATTCTGTGACCTTCACAGAATCCTTCTGCTTTATTAAAGTTGATACATAGTTCTTCATGAAGCATATCTTTACAAATTCTCCATCTTGGTCAATGGTAATAGACACCTAAAATCCCAGTACAAAGAAAGCTGATGAAGTTCAAAGCTAGTCTAGGTTACATAAAGAGTTTGAGGCTGGCATGGGCTGTATAGTAAGACCCTGTCTCAACCACTATACCCCCCCCCAAAAAAAAAAATCTCTTATCTTTATTTCAACTGTCATTCTAATGAAATGTTGATGGTGGTTTAGAAAGAAACAAGCCTGCTTCTCAAAGTTACTGTCATAAAAATACGATAACAAACTATGAGCCCAAAAGAGCTTTTCTCTTAGCCAATATAGTAGACTTGTTGAAGGAGATGATTGTATCCTCCATGTCATTCCTGTCTTACTGGGAAATTATGTCTCTCTAAGCACTTAACTGATCACCCTCTCATGGCAGGACCTTGTAAGAAGATATGCTTCCACACCCAACTCCACCCACCCTCTCAGAATTGGGCAGGAACCAGTCAACTCAGTGATTTCATTACACAATATTCCTGTAGAAAATATTAGAACCTTATCTGATATCAGTTCTTTTTTGCCATCCTTTTTCCCCTACACCTGCAGGAGTGTTATAGAGCTTGCCTCTCATGTGGTGTTCTGGGATAGTCTAGCTGAGTTATCTTTGAGGTGTCTTTGAATAACAAAATCCAAAGAAACCTCATCTAAATAGCTAAGACATAATTGATACAAGATCAGATTTTTTTTGTCAGCTGTTGTGCTTAAACTTGGGGCTTAAGTGTGCTGTCCTTGAACTTTTTTGCTCAAGGCTGGTACTCTACCACTTTGAGCCACAGCACCACTTTCAGTTTTCTGGTGGTTCATTGTAGATAAGAGTCTCAAGGACTTTCCTGCACAGGGTGGCTTTGAACCATGATCCTCAGATCTCAGCTTCCTGGGTAGCTAGGATTATAGGTGTGAGCCACTGGTTCCCGGCTAGGTTCAGATTTTTGAAGATCTGTTCAGGTAAGTACATCTAAAACTCTCTCCATGGAGAATTAAATCAACTCAAATACATTGCTAAGAAAATAAAAATGTCACCTCTCTGCAGGTGAGAGAATGGTAAGAAGAGAAAGGCAAAGTGACTTCTTACTTCTGACTGTGGCTGAAAGCAGCCATTTTATGTTTTGACTCTGAAGTGTCCTCCTTTGAAACATGTAAACCACAGGCTAAGGATGGGGGATATATTTTCCAAGCAGAAATATTTTAAGATCTTTCTTTTGGTTATTGTGTTTTATGACACACCCACACACATGCAGCTCAAACACACCTTGACACCAGGAAAGCAAGAAATTGGGCACTAGCCCCATCTTATCTCAGAAACCTGTTTTGTTTTCCCCTCCATTGCTCCCAGCTCTCCTATTCAGTACCTCTTGGTACTCATTACTTACTTGGCATTAATGTGGATTTAGAATCTAATTTCAAAGGATTTCCTCCAGATGTAGTTCTTGTGTTTATCAATAATGCAACCTTGGGAAATATTGTTCACGTAAAGCATTTAAAGGAAAACACCACAGCAACATAATTTTCGTGGATGTATGGATTTGTGTGTGTGTGTGTGTGTGTGTGTGTGTGTGTGTGTGTGTGTGTGTGTGTTTTAAGTTCAAACAGTTTTGTCTCATAAATATGTAAACCCAGTCTGCCTGTTTTTGTATCCCTGAAGCACACCTGAATATTGCTCCCTGTCTCATTAAATCAACATAAAGAGCTCGGTGAGCCACAAAGCACAAGTTTCTCCTGGCCATGGCTCTGAGAACTGGATAGTTTGCAACACCCAGTGTGAAAGGAGTTGTAAAGGGCCTAATAAAACCACCATCCAGAGCCTTCACATGCATTTTATAGACAAGAACCCGTCAGGCCCTATTTTCTAGCTTCATTATCTCAGACATCATTTAAACAATACAACCAAAGGTTTAACAGAGAACCTGGCATGCCAGAGCAGACAGAAAAAAAAAAAAATCAAGGGACTACCAGGCCTCAGTCTTGGGCTAAGACACATCCATCCCCATGGGAAATTCAAAGCTGATAAAAGGTGTCATTGTATCCCTCATATCCAAATCTGACTGCCCATCAGAATCATGTGAAACAAGTAACATACACAGATAACCATATAATATATGTAGTACACTATCTAAAAAATAACAGTAGGGTAGGACTGTATATGTGTACTAAGGACAATCATTTTTTTGTTCCTATTTTCTGGCAGTGCTGGGGTTCAAACACTGGGTCTAATTCTTGCTCATCAGGTGTTCTTCTACTTGAGCCATGCCCCTAATCCTTTTTTTGCTTTATTTTCCATATAGGGTTTTGTGTGCTTGCCCAGGGTCAGCCTTGGCCTAATATCTACCTACCCACTGCTCTTATGTCGCTAGGATTACACTCACCGCAAGCCCAGTATATTTTTTGAGATGGCATTTCATTAACTTTTAACCCAGATTGTCCTTAAATAGTTATCTTCCCATTCTTCACTCCCAAGTAGCTAGGAATCTAGGCTTAATTCTGTTTTAAAGTTTGCACATAGGATTTTATTTCCTTAACTCTAAAGCCAAATATGCTTTTGCAAATTTGTAAATACAGGGATTAGTTTATAATTGGGCTTTTTTATTTTAACAATAGTTTTATTACAGAATTACTATAATTGCCTAGTATTTTGTGCAAGATTATGAGATACTATTAATTGTATATAGTTGGCTCAACATGTGCAGATTAAAGTA